CTAAAGATCCTGAAATTTTGCTTAGAGTGATAAAATGATCCAATAAACCTTTATAGTAAATAGAAAGCAGAATTAATTTTATTTTTTAATAAAAAACAGTGCATTTTTTCTTTGTTCTCTGGAAGATACTCAAGAATCTGAAATGAAGTTTATGAACCCTTCCAGTATGACACACTGAAGAATACTGAAGATGAAGGATAACTTCTCATCGAATTTTCAGCATTCTTTTGAAGCAGCTACATAGATGAGTTAGTCATTCTTCACCATTAGACGTGTGGACTATGTCCAAGTTTTTATTATCAGTGCTACACTAAATCACTTGGTTTGTGACTCCACATGCGTGCGTGTGTGTGTGTGTGTGTGTGTGTGTGTGTGTGTGTTTCAAGTGTTTCTCTAAGCTAAAGTAAATTCCTGAATTAGAATTTGTAAGTCACAGGGTATGTGCACTTTTCATTTTAATAGACAGGAGTAGCTATAAAAATATACCTTTGTACTAGAACAATATGAAAATGGACTTGTTTTTCCACATCCTCAAATGAAATTAGCATATTCATATTTTCTAGTTTCTGACACTGTAGTGGGTGAATGGTGCCATCTTATTGTTTTAATGTACAGTATCAATACTGTAAAATGAACACTTACAACCTCAAATTGTGTCCACACATAAGACAAACTTGAACATCATATCAACAGTTTCTTAGCCATTTCTTATTCAACCAACAACTTTCCCCAATATCTTCTACCAAAATTCTGACATATAAACACATTTCAGAACACCAGTGCTACTTTCCAAAATATTTAAATTCTTTTGCCTAAGTCTGTCTAGCAAATGCAATCCCAAGAAATGCACCCTTGGGGCTATAGAGATGGCTCAGTGGTTAAGAGCACTGACTGCTCTTGCAGAGGACCCAGGTTGAGTTCCTAGCACCTACATTGTGACTAACAACCATCTGTAATTCCAGTCCCAGGGGATCTGATGCCCTCTTCTGACCTCGGTGGGCAGTGCATGACACAAGTGCACCTACATACATGCAGGCAATACACCCATATACATAAAATAAAAATAATAAATAAAATATTTTTTAAAAAAGAAATTTACCCTCATATTTCCAAAAAGTGACTTGAGTAAATACACTGAAATCATCAATGAAGGATGTCCTGGTTAGTTTTTACTGTCAACTTAACACAACCTACAGTCACCTGGGAAGAGGGAAAGTCATTGAAGAACTGTCTTCATCAGACTGGCCTGTGACCATGTCTCTAAAAGATTGTCTTGAATGATGATGGAAGTGGAGCACCCAGCCCACTATGGGCGGCACCATCCCTAAGCAGGTGGGCCTAGACTATATAAGAAAGTTACCTGAGCATGAGCCAGAGAGCGAGCTGATGCAGTATCCTCCAAGTTTCTGCTTCAGTTCCTGGCCTGACTTTCCTCAATGATGAATTGGGACCTGGAAGTGTAAGCCAAATAAACCCTTTCCTGCCCAAGTTGCTTTTGGTAAGAGTGTTTTATCAGAGCAACAGAAAAGAAATTAGAACAAAGGGGAACATTAGAAACTATTGGATTTTAGACTGTAATCCTAAAGTCAGGATTTTTATGTAGCTGGTTTGTGGATTGAATAAGGAAAAAATAAAAGAATGAGTAAATGACATCAATTTCAAAATAAAATCCTAGGTGCTCTGCCAAGTGAAATCAATATATCATCTTTGTGACACTGATATGATGTCCCAGTAAAATTTTCACTTTAGAGTCAAATTGTGAGTGATTTGTTCTGCTCTAAAACTGACAGTGACTTAGTCTGTTGCTCTCAAAATTCTATAATGACAAAACACTTCTCAGTAGAGTAAGAAGCAAAGGAAAATTCCCATAGCTACGATGATATGCCAGCATATATCCTGATGTAACTGCAGGAGCCAGGAGAATGGAAAGGAACTGGGGAGGTAAAGGGAAAGAAGGAACTTGAGAGAGAAGAACAGTAGGAAGACAGGTATTACTAAGGGGGAAATGGATAAAATGGGAGTATTTAAATGGGAGGGGGAAGGAGAGTTATACAAAGAACTATTGGGATAAAGGGAAAGAAGGAGTTCATGAGAGGTGGGACCATAGAAGACAGGTATTATCAAAGGTGAAACGGGGAAAACAGGGACACTTTAATTGGATTTAAAGCCCACTCAGTGAGAGGACACTCATGTGTGGTACTGTAAACATAGTCAAAAACACATGGCTGGAGAGGTCATAGATCTTAGAGAAAACCCCAAGGCTGTCACATCCTTAGACAAATGTAATTTTTTACTATGTGCTAAATAAGGATCCTTATATTTATAGAAGTATGCCAGTCACCACTCATCAAAGAAGCTTCTTTTGCAACAGATGGAGACT